TGTATAAAGACCTGCTTGTCTCTTTGAACTTGTCCACACAATTTTTTTGAGCTCTTAGATTCCACTTTGTTTTTCTTATCTTTTTCCCACCCTTTTCCCCACATTAATACGTGTGTTCAGCATGTTTTTGTAAAACGTCCCATTGTTCACTTTTTTAAGATGTGAATTATTAGGACTCATTTTTTTAAAAAGAAAAACTTGATCTCATCTCATTTCCTCAAAGGTATGAGAAAATCTGTTCTTGGCTTTGAAGCCACGTGAGGGAACACACAATTTAATGGAGAATGGACATCACATATCGAAGCCAGTAGATATCCATGCTTGATAACTTGTCTGAGGGAGAACTGTAGCGGAACTTTTACCATGTGGAGACCACTTGAACCTGTCAGAGTCAGGCTCATATTGGGTACAGGATAGATGTTTGTTAAATACGTTCCTTAGCATTTTCAATTATATAGATTATTTAATATTTCTCAGATGACCTGTATTTACCTTAAATTGAGATTTTGGTGTGTTGTACTAATAGAAAAAAGTTGAATCCAGAATGCTTAGCCATTTCAGTTGGCTCCATAGGGCAGTTTTGACAAGGTGAAGGTGATACAATGTAACCTTTTTATGTGGGGAAGAAAATGGATTAGGTCTGACTGTATTCTTGCCCTATTTATATCATTCTTTATTTGTCTTCTGATCATGCTCGTAGCACGTACATAGACAAATAGCACCTTGGGATTCCAGCCACCTCTGGGCACTTAAGCACACCACATATTTACTGAGAAACCAGAATAATCCACTCGAAATGAGCAAAAGCCACACAATGTGGTTTTTCTTACAAAGTTGAGTGCCCCAGGAAAATGTTTATAGGCCTATAAGCACTAAGAACGGTACTCATTAAAGCCATGTGGTATATAAAGCCCACTCACCATCTGCTGAAGAACAGAGGCAAGAAAGGAGATTCTTTACTCTCTCTTAATTGGGTCCGTGGCAATTGTCACTTCTTATTAAGTTGCAATGTTTAAGTCTTGCCCTTGGACCTGCGTAGAGCCTATGACCCCACAATCAGTTCATCTTCTGGTGTTTCTCAGGACATCTATGATGGACAGACAGTCACAGAGGACTTACTCAGGGAAAAGCCTGGAGCTTCCAGAGCTCATGCTGGCGACTCGCTGGCTCACCAGGGTAGGGGGTGGGGGCCGTGCGAGGAGGGTGGAGATGACGGCTTCCACCTTGACCAGTCCTTATAGAAACTGATCCAAGAAGTGTTCTGCTAAGCATTCAAATCCTAAGTGCTCAAAACAAGATTTTGATAACAACAAAAGCAGCAAGACTGCTGACACTATGTGTAAGTAGTAAATGCAGGGGCGCCTGGGGGGCTCAGTCTGTGAAGCATCTGCCTTCAGCTCAGGTCATGATCTCAGGATCCTGGGATTGAGCCCCGAATCAGGCTCCCTGCTCAGTGGGGAGTCTGCTGCTCCCTCTCTTCCTCTCTCTTTCAAAAAAATAAATAAAATCTTTAAAAAAAAAAAGTAATAAATGCAGAAGCATTTTGATTGCTCGGTGGCAAATGCTTTACCTCACATTGATTTTAAATATTTTCTGCTTTTTCAACTCATAACTCAGCTTTGCTTTAAGTGGCTGCTTAAAAAGTTATCTGGAGTGGGGATGGGAGCAGGACTTGAGGCAAAGAAGTAATTCCAAAATACTAACTACTACTATTACTACACTAATGATGGCATGCCTTGGAGATGTTGCTGCTTCAGTTACCAATTTTTTGGTTTCCCAATCCATATTAAAGTTACATGTACACCAGACAATAGTCTATTAAATGCACATAGTGTTATGTCTAAATAAGCAGAGTATATACCTCAATTTAAAATATTGCCAAATTGGGGCACCTAGCTGGCTCTGTCGATAGAGCATGCAACTTTTGATCTCAGAGTTGTGACTTTGAGCCCGGCATTGGGCACAGAGATTACTTAAAAAAATAAACATTAAAAAGTTAAAATATTGCTAAAAATGCTAACCACCATCTGAGCTTTCGGCAAATCATCCTTTTGCTGGAGGAGGATCTTGCCTTGAGGTTGTTAGCTGCTGAAGGTGGGGGTGGCTGTGGCAATTTCTTAAAATAAGACAGCAATGAAGTTTGCCACATTGACTCTTCCTTTCATGAACAATTTCTCCGAGAGATGTGATACTTTTTGATAGCATCTGACCCACAGTAGAACTTCTTTCACTGTTGTACTGAATTCTCTCAGGCCCTGCTGCTTCTTTATCAACTCAGTTTATATGATATTCTAAATTCTTTATTGTCATTTCAACAATCTTCACGGCATCTTCACCAGGAGCAGATTCCACCTCAAGAAACCACTTTCGTTGTTCATCCATAAAAAGCAGCTCCTCATCCATTCAAGTTTTATCACAGGATGGCAGCAATTGAATCTCATCTTCAGACTTCACTTCTAATTCTTGTTCTCTTGCTGTTTCCACCCCATTTGCAATAACTTCTTCCACTGAAGTCTTGTACATTCAATCTGTAAAAAATATAATATCTGTGAAACACAATAAAGTGAGGTATGCCTGTAATGTCATCATCATAGATATTCGCTCTTTATTGACCATCCAGGCTCCTTCCTAAAGGACAGCAGCCTCCATCAAGTGTGTTGGGAATGGTCCCCCTTCAGCCTGTCCCTGGAGGTTACTCCCCTGCCTCCCAGGCCTCCCGCTGTTGCCCAGAACCAGTGGCCCCAAAGCTCCTCCTATTCCTACCACCCTCCCTCCATTGTCCATCAGCTGAAAAGTGGGCTGTGTTGTAGAAATCGTTTGGAACCACAAATGACACCTGAGCACATGAAAAAAAAAAAAAAAAGCTGACCTCACTTGTAATCAATGAAATGCAAATTAAAACCAATCAGAAGTTATTTCCACTTATCTCATAAGGAAACAAATTAATTGTAATAACCAGAGATGGGAAAGGTCTGGCAAGATTGGCTCTCCTCTGCACCACAGGTGGGAAAGTAGATTGGAACCGCTGATCTAAGGGCAGATTTGACAATAGAGATAATATAAAGCCCCCGATCTATTAATTCCTTTTCTAAGGATTTATTCTAAATAACCCGAGACCTGCTTAGTGTTTGCAAGCAATAGCGTTTCTCATAGTGTTTTAGAATGTCATCTACAGAGAGGCCCTTAAAGTAATCCTGTATGTATGATACAATACTATTCATCTGTTAAAATTATTCACTTGAGGAATTTTGCATGACATTGGGAGCTGTGAAATGGAATGGCTACCTGAATGGGCTTTATTTAGGGCCACACTGACTGCATTTGAAGCTGTCCCTACAAACTTCCAGGCTGTGCAACTTGGGAGAGATGTTAAACCTCTCTATGCCCCAGTCCCTTAAAAGGGAGAACAAACAGTGGAAATACATACAACTCACTTGGCATCCTTCGCACAGTGCCTGACACAGCATAAGTGCCAAGTGCATGTTACTGTTAAGTGACTTACCATCTGTGCCTCAGTTTCCTCCTCTGTCAAACGGGAATGACAGCAGTACCTGTCTCAGCGGAGTGAGGGTGCGTTAACAAGCAGGAAGCACTTAATGTCCCCAAGAACCCAGATTCCTGGTAGAGAACCAAGGCTTTTCGAAAATCCCCACCCTCACCCACACCAAGACTACGGGATATATATCAAAATAACAGTTTCTGGGTTTTCCAGTGTCATCGTCCTGGTCTCTTGTCACTTAGCAGCTGACTGTTTCTGTGCAGGGTTAACAGGGCTGTTCTGATTTCCTCCTCATCTGCCTTAGAACAGTGATTCTGAACTCTGGATGATGTCGGAATACACTGGGGGTGTGCTGCTTGCTAGACTGGTGGGCCTTGGGCCTTCATATTTTTTAAAGGTTCACAGGGAAATTCTGACGTGTGGCCAGGTGATGGGCAGCAGGCTGGAACCAGGCTGGCATTTGGTGCTACCGTGTCCTGCCTGGCAGGGGGTTCTGGCGTATGGACAGAGCCCCTCTTCTCCGGCTGAGTTTCGAAATCAGCCCGAGCAGTTTTTCCCACATCACCTAAGGTGAGACTCCCCTGGAGTGCTTGCTACGAATGTGGGCACCTGGACCCTAATCCAGACCTACCAAATCTGGATTTTTACCCGAGGGACTTGGTAACGTGTATTTAGTGAGCCCATGGGGAGATTCTTGCCATCAGGGAATTGCAGGAACTCTGACGGAGCCATGGTTCTGTCCAGCTGCACAGTGGGCATATCTAAGGTGCCCGAGAAACCCAGATGCCAAGTCTCCTGCCTCTGGGACTCTAGCGTGATGCAGCAGGGATGCTGGCTGGGCCTCAAGACCTGGGAAGTCCCTCTAGAGTCTAACGTGCAGTGATGATTCTCAGAGTGGGGTGCTGGGACCCCCATCACCTGGGGACGTGTTGGAGATGCATACTGTAGAGTCTGATCTGAAACTGCTGAATCAGAAACTGGGGATGGGACCCAGCAGTCTGTGCCTGAACAACCCTTTCTCGTGATTCCTGCCCATGCTGAGGTTAAGAACCACTGCCCAAGGGTGGGGTTCTAAAAAGCCGGTTCCCAGACAAATTCCCAGGAGACCTCAGTGGTCAGGACTCAGGGGGAGAGTGGACTCCCAGTGGCCCATGACCACACTTTGAGAAATACTACTCTCGAGTTGACCCTTGTTCCCTTGGGCATTTGAACATTATGAGAGCCCTGACATCTCTCAAGTACCACCAATGTCCTGATGTGTTTGTGGGCAGCCTGTTGCTGCCACTCCTAGGCCCTTGGTGGCAAAACACATGGCTGCCTTCCAACCATAATTAGTGGGACATGTTTTCTTTAAAGTCAATAAGTACTTGGGTTGGGAATACATTTTGCAGAAGCACTGACCTGTGTTTGACTGGGAGCACCAGTCATAGAGCAGACGAAGGAATGCTTCTCCTGCATGGGTCTTCCCCTGCTATAACTTCTGTGCCTGTCTGTTTTGTAGGTTTTACCACCAGCCCGTACTAAGGTGGTCCTCTCAGCCCCAGACTGCTCACGACCACGCCTACTGGAGAAGAAGAGGACAGGAGGTTGGTGGCTTCCTGGGGCCAAGGAACCGAGAAGACCTGGAGGGCAGAGGAATGGCCCAAGCCCACAGTCTGCCTGTCCACATGAGGGAAGGTCCATGGGAAGTTGGAGGAAGGACAGAGAATGTGATGAAGAAGGCAGTTTGGGAAGAAGAGCTGAGAATGGCAGCACCTGCCAAGTGGCAGACTATAAGCCTTGAGAGCTGGCACCAGCCAAGGAAGTTAGGGAGGCAGATGTCTGATGGTGACGGGGAGAGACTGTTTCAAGATCTGTACCCATTCATGCAAGGAGAACAGGTGCTGAATTCTCAAAGCAAAGGGAAATCCCAGTCCTTGCCCAGGGTTCTTCCCCCGAGGGCCTGAGTTGCATGGAGATTCCCATTCCACTGAATGATGGACATTTTCCAAGTGTTCCTAAAATGCCATTTTACCCTCCAAATTGTGCCCCCAATTTGGAATCCACAAGGAACCTCGAGAAGAGTGGCTCCTCGGCCCCTTTGCCCCGGCCCAAGTTTGGGAGACCCCTCAAGCCTCCGTCCTACGACTCTCACCAGAACTCCCGAGTGGGCATGGAGAGCAGCGACTCTCCGGATGGTCAGCAGGCAGACCTGTGCGCCTCCTACCTGAGCAGAGCTAACGAGCCCAGGCTGGAGCTATGTGCGTCCGACTCCGGCTTAGAGCCTCCGGTGTACGTGCCCCCGCCGTCGTACAGGTCACCGCTGCAGCACATCACCAACCCCTACGGGGACGACGCGGCCCCCAGGCCCGTGTGTGCTGGGCCCCGTCAACAGCAGCATCCCGCGGAGGTGCCCAGTGCCGGGGGTCAGCCTCCTTCCAGGCCGCTGGGAACCGGGACCGAGTATGGTGCGAGCCCGCGCTCTCCTCGAGCGTTCCCTCTACAGCCCCGGCCAACCACCGCTTATGACAGCTCTGTCCTGTATATTCCCTTTGATGATCCCCGGATACGACATTTTAAACTAGCCCAGCCCCAGGGTTTCCATCCAGAAACACAGGCTGCTGAGATGTTGTACAGCTCGAGTCCGGGTACTGCCCCAGCACCTGCTCACGGCAACAGTCAACAGGACGGCGCCGTCTTGAGCCCACGGAGCGTGAGGACCCCACCAGGCAACGCCAGCAGCTCCGCCCCAGCCAGTCCTGGTCCCCGGTGGCTATGGGGCCATCTCCCCGGGGATGCAGAGAATGGCAGCTTTCCTGACCAAAGAGACCATGGTGCTGTGAGAGGACAGTGGCCTGCCGTGGGTGGCAGCCCGCGTGGCCACCCAGAAGGCCCGGCCCCCTCCCCAAGCCCGCAGGGTGAGAGTACCTGCGAAACTCGAACCACGCTCAAGAAGTTTGAAACTGGGATTCAGACCAAGAAAAGTTCAAAGAAAAAAATGAACGAGACGATATTTTGTTTGGTTTCCATCCCAGTTAAATCCGAATCACATCTGCCAGATATAGATACCAACAACAATGACTTAAAACAGAGCTCTGATAAAAAGAATAGGCTTGATAAGAGCCCGGCTTTGCAAGAACAAAGTCTGCTGAGCATGTCTTCCACGGACCTGGAGCTGCAAGCTCTCACAGGAAGTATGGTTGGGAGAACAGAGTTCCAGAAACAAGATCTGGGGGAACCAGAAGAAGGGAAACAAACAAATGACCTCAGATTCCTTCACCCTACAAAGCACAGAGAGCTCAAGTATTCTGGCTCATGGCCAGGGCACCAGTACAGAGATCAGCAAACACAAACCACTTTCACCGAGGACTCCAAAAGCCCTCTGCCCCTCCCATGCGAGAAGCCGGGAGGGTCCCCAAAAGCAGTACTGACACCCAGATTTTCAGACCCCATTGCCTCTGAAGCTCACCTGCCTGGGGTGTTAGCTTCCAGCCACCAGAGCCAGAGGCCACATGCTCATCACCTGAAAGGTCAGATGTCCCTCAGCCCCTCCAGCAACAGCGCTTTCTCGAAGACTTCCTCCTGCATAAGCCACGCACCTATTCTGAAAGCAGGGCCCACTCAGCCGTGCGTGGATGGCCGTGGCCGCGACGCCAGCCCTGTGCCCCGGGGCGAGGTGGTGAAGGGGGAGACCACCGGCCCCTGCAATAGTCAGCAGCTCTTTGGCCAGTTTCTCCTGAAGCCAGTGAGCCGGCGTCCCTGGGATTTGATAAGCCAGCTGGAAAGTTTTAACAGGGAGCTTCAGGAGGAGGAGGAGAGCAGTCACAGTGGCAGTGACAGCAGCGAGGACAGTGACACGGAGTGGCGGTGTGAAGGCCACGTGGACACCACCGCCAAGAGCCGGGGCTTGGGTGAGGCAGGCCAGGTGCAGAGAGCTGAGGCTGCCCTAGGGAGGCTGGCACCCGAGGAGCCCGGGCCCAGGTCGGGAAGAGTGAAGAGTAAGTCCGAGAGCTGGAGCGAGGAGCAGAAGCTGGGCCGGCCCCACGTCCCCCCTTGGTCCCTGGGCCCCGTGACGGTGGTAGGCGGAAGGGCTGCGGCCTCACTGTCTCCACGCACCAGCCCGGTCACCGAGAAAGGAGACCAGGAGGCCGAGCACAGGATGGACAAGCCAGCAGTCAGCCTGGGTCCTGTGAACGCAGTGATGTCCTCTAAGTCCAGTGACACGAAGCCAGTGCTCTTGTCTGAGCCAGCTGAGCTAAGGCAGCCCGGGGAAAGTCAGGAGCTGCCCGGCATGTCCATTTCTGGTGGGCCAGGTGCAGCAGCCCCTCGGAAGGCTGGTGGTGGAGGGGAGCAGGGCCCGCGGCTCCCACTCTTTCTTGCCAGCAAAGCCCGAGGACTGTCAGCCCCAGACTTGAGGTCTGTGGGGCTGCTACCTGCACCAGAGCGGAGTGCCGAGAAGTCAGATGGCTCTTTAGGGGAAGCGAGTGCCATAGAAATCCCCCCAAATGAGTCCCTGCAAGCAAGAGCTGCAAGGATCCTGGGCATCGAGGTGGCCGTGGAGTCCCTACTGCCAGGTGCCCAGAGAACAGGGCAGAACGAGCACCCTGAGCCCGATGGAAGTGTCTGCTGGCCAGAGGCCCCCAGGAAGGAGGCTGCATCCAGCTCAGTGCAGCCAGATGACCCCGCGGTGTCCACGGACGCCTTCTATGGCAGGAGGAAGTGTGGCTGGACCGAAAGCCCTCTCTTTGTAGGGGAAAGGGACGGTGCCCGTCGGGTTGCCCCGACCGCTGAGCATGTGAGTGTGGACAGGACTGTCCCCAGCAAAGCCCCCAGTCCTGAGCCTCAGCCCAGCCGCCAGGAGTTCACATCCTGCGATCACAGGGACATGGAGACAAAACCACCCTTCAGGTCCACTCTGTTCCACTTTATAGAAAGGACCCCGAGCGTGGCAGGCGCAGAAAAGAGGCTCAGAAGCACTTCCAAAGTGATCGAAAGTTTACAAGAGAAACTGGCCTCCCCCCCTCGGAGAGCAGACCCCGACCGCCTGATGAGGATGAAGGAGGTAAGCTCTGTGTCTCGGATGAGGCTCCTGAGTTCCCGGAGCGCCGACTCCGTGGAGGAGGCCGAGGACCTGAAGGCCGAGAGGGTGCCACCTGGAGGCCTGGTATCTCCAAATGCGGGGGACCTGAAGGCCGGGCATCCCCTCCCTGTCTCCAAGGGGGCCCCCTCGCTGGAAGAAGACAGGCATCCAGCAGCACAGAGAGAGAAGACTGTCCAGCAGGACTTCTGGTGCCCAGGTGAGGAGGCAGGCCGCAGGCAGGGCTCAGTATTAATTTGATGGTCTTAGAGTATAAAAAACACCAGGTCGGGGATGCCTGGGTGGCTCAGTGGTTGAGCTCTGCTGTCAGCTCAGGCAGTGATCCCAGGGTTCTGGGATTGAGCCCTGCATGGGCTCCCTGCTCAGTGGAGGGTCTGCTTCTCTCTCGATCTGCCCCCACCCCTCCCCACCTCACATTCTCATTCTCTCTCCCTCCCTCTCTCTCTCTTTCTCTTTCTCTCTCTCTCAAATAAATAAAATCTTAAAAAACAAAAAGCAAAAACAAAAATACCAGGTTGTCAGATGATGCAAATCCTGTATTGGTAAAGCTGAGTTTGTGAATTATCATACCAGAAGATTCTTCATTTTATAAAGAGTCATCCAGAAGCTTTCCTTAAAAATCAGTATCCCGTGGTACATCATAAATGATTATGTCTTTATGGAAATTACCTATGCAAACAATTATATACAATTATCTGTATAAATAAATCTTAGGTCCCTGACTGTGAAGAGGTAAATCAGTAAAGTATCCCAGCTTTGGTGCCACCCCTTGATGAACCTTGTAGAGACCGTGCCGTGCCGCACATGCTCTGCACTCTCTCCCAAACAACATTCACCTGGACCACCTGCGTGTTCTTTATTAACCTAATAAGAAAGAGATACCCAGATAATTAAATAAACTACCCAGCCGGGCTGCTGTGTCTTAAACCGAACCTTCCAAAGTCCTTTGTCCCATTTTATCTGTTTTTGCTACCACACCATTTATGAAACTTTAAAAAGGTTTAGTAGATAGAAGGAACAGTTTGCACTTTCTCAGCACCCCACCCCTAAAAGTTTCACCCATTAGCTCTGTCCCATAAGGTCTCCTAAGGTCTGAGGGCTAAGCCCAGGACAGAGGGCACCCCCTGGCCTTTGGGCCTCTCCCTTCTGTCACCTTAATGCCTTCAGAGCTGCTCCAGGTCAAACCACCAGGCAGGTTATCAGGGGCAGCAACGGGGATTGTCCCCAAACAGTCTCACCCTCTCAGCTCTGATGCAGACAGGCATCTCCATTTCCAGCATTTTCTTCAGAGGCTGGGCAATTAGAAATCATTTATGCTAGCACTGATTAGAAAGAAGAGTGGAGGTATATGTCAGAAGGCCTGCATCATAAACCACACACAGGGAGGGACCTCAGATCATTCATTTAGACCTTTTTACAGCAAGGGGGAAACTGCCCTTGTGTGTGTGACCATGCTGACCCTGGGCCCCCAGCCCCCCTCCTGAGGCAACCCCCAGTGGGGCAGCGCCCCTACTCCCTCTTCTCTGTCAATGGACAAGATCACTTGTTTCAGCTAAAAAAATCCAGAATTTTTGTTCTGCAAAACATCCACGTGGCACTTTTTAAATTTTCCCACGAATGCAGTATGATTCTTAGGAGTGTTGGCCAGTGTTGCTCAGTTCCTTACACGAAATACATTATTGAAATAACCCATTTGTCAGGGCCCTCTTGGATCATCTGACTTGATAAAGGTCTTTGCCAAGAGAACACTAAGATGTGGAACTCTTGCCATAATGGTGGGGAAAAAGTGTTATACGACCCATTTTTTGAGCTGTTGGGATTAGGCTTTAGCTCTAATAAATGGGTCCTCTCTCCTCCCATGCAAAATATGCCCACTCGCTTTTGAGTGTGAGTTAAAATGAGTTTCTTCATCAGTCTGGTCTCATCCTGAAGATTGTAAGGATTTTTAAATGAGGCAAATCCTGTTACCAGTTTGTCAAGATTTCTCTTTCTCAGTTCATGGCCACATATTTCAGGGAATGTTTTATGACATGAAACTTCTAGTTCAATAAAGCACTCCCTCAATTTTTAGCTCATTTGGCATGTGAAGAGGGTTTAGATCATTTGGTACGTGAAGAGGGTTGGACAGGTATCTGCAAACATGTAGGTAATGCCAATTTTAATGTTAACCACTAGGAACACCTCTTCCATTACTTTTTTTTTTTTTTAATCTGTAGTTACTGGGCAGCCCGGGTGGCTCAGTGGTTTAGTGCCACCTTCAGCCCAGGGTGTGATCCTGGAGACCTGGGATCGAGTCCCAGATCAGGCTCCCTGCATGGAGCCTGCTTCTCCCTCTTCCTGTGTCTCTGCCTCTCTCTCTCTGTCTCTCTCTCTTTCTCTGTGTGTGTGTGTGTGTGTGTTTCTCATGAACAAATAAATAAAATCTATAAAAAATAAAAAATAAACTGTAGTTACTGACATTTAGTAGATATTTTTCCCCTCTTCTCCATCTGATGCATTTATTAATACATAATAAAGTGACCACAAATCTAAAGGCAGAGAGCTGCTCATGATGCACACAGTCCCCTCTGGCACTCTTAAATAATGGCAGAGCAGGACACCATTAGGGACAATTTCATGCAGGAAGAGGAGCTCGGGTGCACCTCCTTCATGTGATGGTCACCAGGTGTATCCAGAATCATTTTGAGAGGAATGTGGATCATATGACTATGACAGTCAAACTTGAGATATCTTACCTTCTCCTCACTGTTGCTTCACAAGTGAGAATAAAGCCTTGTTGCTTTTTTTGCTGATAAACTCTGGGACATGTTTTCTTCTTGATATAGTTTATCATTTTATACATAAGAATCAACATCTCCATCCCCCAACCCACCCCTGCCCCTGTCATCCCAGTGTGTAGGAACCACTTCACTATTCCCGAATTCACAGCCCACTTAGAATTCAGATTTTGTTCTGGAATATGAAAATAAGTTTATGCCACCGTATATCTAACCCCCGCCCAGCATACACACATGCACATGCCCTTCCACATGCAGTGATCCTTGAAGGTGGTCCTTTCAGCTGATATCTTTTTAGTGGTCTTTTGGGCCTCTGGCTAAGAAGTCAGCACCTTAAAACTTAACTCAGGTGACAAAATGCCATCTCTGCTAGATGGAACGTGTTCCAGTTTGGAAGTGTAATCTTAGGAACTGGTAGTGTTCAGAACCCTGGTTCTGTCAACCTCCGTGGCATACTCTATCCATCTGGGCGCAGGAGGAAAACAAGGAGAGACTGCTTTGGGCCCAAAGGGGTGCATCTTGGGAGGGTGTGAGATGCCAAGCAATGCCACTCGTGGGAAGGCTGAATGTAGCTCTCCAGCATGTTGATGCACAAAACACCCACAAGGGCAGGCCTTAGTGTGTTGTCTCTACCCGAAATCCTGCCCACTGGAACCAGGATTCTCACTACTCAGAGTAGCCTCTCTGTCCTCTAGATCTCCACATGCCAGGATGGTAGCTCCTGGTCATATGTGGGGCCTTGAGCATTTGAAACGGGGCTTATCCAAACTGAGGTGTGCTGCAAGTGTAAAATACATACCAGAGTTCAAAGACTTAGGATTAAAAAAAATTTTTTTAAGTTTCTCAATTTTTATATTGATCACCTGTTGAAATAATAATTTGGATGTATTTGGTTAAATAGAATATATTATTAAAATTAATTTCACCTGTTCCCTTTTACTTGCTTTATCACACCTTCTAGATAATTTAAAATAATGTTATGTGGCTCACATTATATTTTTATTGGACCTACACTGTCTATGATTGGCAGAAGGAGCCCATTGTTCTACAGAGTTCTTTCCCTGGCTCCCTGGCTCCGGGCCGTTAGCTGCATTAGTAGGGCTGTGGGGTGTGGACTTGTTCTGCAGAGGTGTCCCCCTGTACCTGGCCCGAGGTGAACTGCTCGGTGCCCACTGGATGTAACCTATGCTCAATAGATGCTCAGCGTCTTTCTGGCCTCTCACCGGCTGGAAGTGACCACCCCCCCTCATCTCCAGAGAAAAAAACTGTTCTTGCTCAGAGGAGGTCCCCCTCCAAATCCACACACAATGAGGCTGACTGAGCACAAAAATGTAGTGCTCAGCTGTTCATATCGGATGTTATCACACTGGGTGTTGCTGAGTGTAAAAAATCAGAAGGCAGCCAACCCACTTGAGCTCCACTTGCTTTTAGCCACGCGGGCACTTGGTGCAGCAAATCACATTTGGGGAGGAGCAGGCTGCTTGCTTTTCCCAAATGCAGGCACTGTTGTCCTATTTGGTTTGTAATGTCTGACTCAGCGCTGTAAGCAGGGTCTTAGCCATCACAGGTGTGTCGTCTGGATAGTAAGCATATCATGGCTAAGCTGAGACTGTCTTAGCAGACATGGTAGGGCGTTTTGCTGCTGGAGAAATTGGGATCGGTACGGCCTTCGTATTGCACAGTTGTCCAGGCACATTTAAGAAGAAATCATTTTACAATAGTTTTTATAGCTGTCAAATTGTACCAATCCTAGATTTCGTGTTTTCTTTCTTTCTTTTTTTTTTTTTAAAGATTTTATTTATTTGAGGGAGAGAGAGAGAGAATGAGTAAGGAATGCGGCAGAGGGAGAGGGCGAAGCAGGCTTCCCACTGACCCAGGAGCCTGATGCGGGTCTCGAACCCAGGATGCAGAGGTTATGACCTGGGCTGAAGGCAGACACTCAACCACTGAGCCACCCAGGTGCCCTACTAGTGTTACATTTAAAGTTGAATGATGTTCCATTTCTCTGATTAGGTAGTGACCAATGTACCAATTGTACAATGTACAATGACCAATACAGTGTCCTTTTAAAACAGCCTTTTGATGATAGTTTCTTACTCCTCAGTGAAAACCATATTGTTTAAATGTCTAAGTGTTCACTTTACACCTGTGAATTTTGTTCCCTCAAAATATTTATGTCTGAGGATTGAACAGAAAACACTCTAATTGAATATACCACTAATCTTTTTTTCTCTTTTATAGATTCGTATGACCCTAGCAGAGTGGAGAGGGTGTGAGGAGATGCCAGTGAAGCACCGGATCGCTAGAGTTTACTAACTGGGTGTCCTCTTGTTTGGCCTGTCCGCCCTGCCTGCCCATGTGTTGGCTGGCGCCTGCTGGCTTGTACTGTACTGTCGCATCCTCTACCACTGCCACCAAGAAATTCACCATCCCTCTAGAATCACTTTGTGGAAATAAAGCATTAGTCTATTGAAACCATCTGTTTTTATAATATGAAGAGTTAATGCCTGTATGTAGAGAGGAGTTGCATAAACTCTCCTTAGTGATGGATTTAGCCAAGCTGGTAAATAGTTTGGTGTTAATCTGGTTCCATGTAAAATTCAACCGGGAATGGTTTTGAAGGGACTGTGAATGTCATTAATTCCCCTTTGCATCTCCATAGCCCGTGGCCCATGCTCGTGTTAAGGAGTTTGGGACTTGGGCCAACTGCCCGGCATTCCAGCACTTTGAGTTTAGGGGAAATGGGATGAATCTATATGCCCGTTTCTAATCAATTTGGCCTTCTGCTGCTGCAAGTAACTCTATTTATAAATAACTTGCCATCAGAGAATAAAAGCAATATCTTTTAAGTTTCTAAAAGATTAAAAATTGTACCATAATGTATTCAGAGTATTATTTATCTGGCGATGAAATACTTTGATCATTCGCAAACATGCCATCGTCTGCTTTGCCCTCAGTATTATCTATTTTTATGTTCTGTATGGATGTTTAGAAATTCTTTATATGAAAAGTAATTGCTGGTTTAAAATAGACCATTTTAACAAAGTAACTATATTTCTTTTTACAAAAATGCTATTTTTCTATGATGTAAACAATTATGAGGTGGCAGATTTTTAAGGAAGTATTATTTTATTTAAGAGTCTGTATCCCTTTGTGTGAGAGGAACCCAGAAAGGGTTCACATTTGCTTTAAAGCACACACCCCTTACCCCTTCACAGCTCAGCTACTTGTATGTTATCTTAAAAAGAGATGTCAATATAGACATTGTATTACAGGGTTAATAAAATGAACTTTTCACAAAGATGCTTTCGCAAATGTAGCTGTAAGGTTATATTTGAAAATAACCCTCTCAAAACCAGCCAACATCCTTACAACTATTTTTGCTGCCATATCCACTAGAATTACCAAAAAACATAGTTTCATCTCGGTATGTCTGTGGGGATCTCCCCTGAGACGATACTTTCCTCTCCACTGCCCCCTGCCCTTTTATGAAATACTGTATTTTTATCTAGAATGATCCTTAATTATTAGTCTCTGCATATTTTTTAAAAGTGCTAGAGACATTATATATATATGCCAATACAAAAGTACTACGAGGCCTCTGTATTCTACTGTGTTTACTATTGCAGTAGCCTGCACAAATTTTAAGCATTTTTATGCATTTGTCCCTTCTTTCTAAGTAGGGTATCTTGTTAGCTAACACTTCCTGAATGGTTTCTTGTCGCCTTCCTTCCTCTTTCCTTCCTTCCCTCTCTCTTTTTTGAGAAACCACCTTCTCTATTTTTAGATGTTTCAAATTCGTAAAATGTAAATTGTTGGGTGGTCTGCAATTTGGCCTGCAAACAACTCCGACTGGGCTTTCATGGCCCATTTTTATCTGTACCATATGATTTTATTTCATAAAAACTTCATGTATTTGGACTATAATAAACAACACAGAATCTAAGTAGTTCTGAACAGTTGTTTCAAATACACTTATCTGCATTCTTGGTCCTTACCTCTCTTAAGCAGTCTTCTATTACTTGTTTCCAGATTTTGGCTCTTGTGAAAAGTTGTACTAGGCTCTTGCTTTCCCAGCAAATGAGATGGGCCAAGTCTTAGCATTAGGAATGGCAGAAACTTTTTCCCCAGGAAAAGTTTAATAGGGAAGAGGTCAGTTACTCTAATAGTTGGTGAATCACTCAAGTCATCTGCTAAAACCAAATGAGGGTGGCTACCTGGAGGTCTTTGTGGGATGTGCTTCCTTCCTTAAATTACAAATGAAAGAAGGTGAGGTGTACATATATGTATGTATGTACACATATAGAAACATACATATATACATGTCTATTAACTCTACTCTGACTTCTTAAATTTGTTGATCCCATCTAAAAACTTCTTTAAATGAAAGTAATGAAATTTTAGCTTATTCCTCAAGAGAAAGAAAAGGATCCTGAAGAGAAAAAACAGGGTAACCTATGTATACCACAAAGCAATATAATGATGGTCTTCTGATTTTTATTCTAAATTGTACCATCTTTCTGAAACCATTCTGAATTTTGTTGAAATTATCAGTATTTCTACTTTGAACCTTAATTTCTGGACTTAAGCCTGTATATAAATCTTTTTGGTGTGTGTTGGGGGATAACTTTGACAATTTGAGTTTTAAGCTTGCACATTCTGAGGTAAATAATACATCCTGTAATCCAAAATAGCTTTCCCAGAAGTTTTGAACTTAATGCTAATTATTATTTTATTATTACTACTTCTGATGCATATATAACTCTCCATTATTATTTGTGGCCTGAAAAAAAAAGTTCTCCTATCTTGTCCTTGTCATTGTTTTCTCATATGTATGCTAACTGTTGGTGTTTCATGATTTTGGGCTTATGAAATTAAAAGTTCTACCTTTGACCATTTGGACTAAACATTACATGAGGAATTGCCTATGAAATTCATTTGTATTTTTTGATTTGCAAAAGAAGGGAAAGAGAACATGTTGGTAATTTGGCTCTAATTACCTTTCTTTGAAGAAAATTTTCAGGTTGCCAAAAACCAGGTATCTTCATTATCATTTTCGACTCAGGTTTCTGTGGATTGCAGGAACCTGCCCACTAAGGGGGGTGCAGTTCTTGGCGCATGTCTGCAGAACTCTGTTCCATGCTGCCTGTCACATGGAATTCTTTAAAAGTCCCTGAAAATGCATCTACTCTTGGAGATCCTGGTTTCCTTATTAGAATTGTAGGTTAGGGTTTTGATCCATGGGCAAATTCTAAGTAGAACTTTTTCTATCCTCTTTGACTGTTGGTTGGAGTGTTTCTGTTCATGGAAGTTCCTATGCGTAAACTCAGATGACTCTGGAACTAGCCCCTGACCGCTTTTTGCCGCAGCAGGATGACTGACTCTGGTGGCAGCTTGGCTTTGGGCTTTGGAGGAGGAAGGGTGAAGCTGACCTGCTGTTGACACGACTGCTTCCCAGCTCAGAGCAGAAAGAACCAATGGAAAATATGATGAGGCCACCACTTCATCTGGGACCCCCCGCCAAAGACTGTGTTTGTGTGTCTTGGCTGTTTTGCTTTGTTTTGTTTTGTTTAAAATGATGAAGTAGGACACAATTAAGTGTCAGGTTAGCAGCTCTTGGAAAGTGACCAGTAGAGCAGAGTTCCCACTCTCTAAATAGCCGGGCTTAGAGAAACACTCTCAGTATTCTAAGTGCTGGTGAGCAGTTGCTGCAGTGTTTGGGCCATTTTCTGCAGATCCATCTGTGCTAGAGGGATGGAAGGAGGGGTGGGAGTGAGTCTCAGGCTGCTCTTGCACGCCTGAGGGATTTTCACATTTGCTTTTTCTTTTGTTTTTAACTGCAGATTCTGTACATCTGTTTGTGGGAGGAGAGTTGCTACTCAGGACAGGATTTAAGAGACAGATTCCAAGTGACCTTTAAGAGTGCATGGTGGGAGGTCCTGTTCCAGGAGTGTGGGTTGGTCCACTCTGGGACCCACCAAGCGAAGAAGGAGGTGATGGTAAAATAAGCTTAAAAAGAGAGAATAGGTCCCCAGCCTTCACATTTTGTTGAAAGAAAGAAAGAAGTGGTTAAGAATACAATCCAGATCGAGACCTCATAAAAAGGTCAATATGGTCTAACCAACTGCCCGTTGAAACAGTCCTTGGGTTCATCAGCAGTGCGGAGAGGCGGGCAGAGTGCCTGCAGATTCCTGGCTTTGACTTTTGAGAGCCCCTGTCACACTTGTATTTGTTACAGAAGACAGGGAGGGCCTTGTTCTGTGGCCTCTGCTCAGTGATTGAAATTTGAACCCAAAGGCAAGTCCAGATTGTCCAACCATTCGTCCCATTGCCTTGATTGGGGGAGGGGGGGTGAGGAGGAAGCTCTCCCCATAAGATGACCCATCCCTGCTTCCATACAGAAGCCAGGTCTGCTGGGGCTTGCAGCAAAGCCGAAGGAGCAAGACTTCTCTCCCCTGCTATCCTTCAGCCCACCCTGTGGCAGGGCCAACACGTGTGACACTCCCTGTCACAGCAAGAGCGAGACAAAGGCAAGTCAAGTTGAGAAGCATGTGGCAGAAATTAGAAATGAAAACCATATGTCCCAGCCAGAGAGAAAAGCAGTAACCTACAGATTATAAAAATCAACGAATTACTCTCCCACTTGGGGCAGCTGAAATTTGAGCCCTCACACTACACTCGGATGTGTCAGGAAAGCTAGGCAGAGGGATCTCAAAAAACAAATATATAAATAAATAAATGAATAAGTAAACTTCCAAAATGTGGTGAAAACAAGGCTCTGTAACCCCATAGAAACTTTGCTCATCATTTCTTTGAGTACCACTGATACGTAAGGCAGGTGGAGAGGATTCCAGGAAAAGACACACCTGGTAATGGCCAATCACCAGCTGCGGGTCATCGCCCACTCCCCACCCCCCATCCAGCAGCACCAGAGGCCTTAATGTGACTAGCGGTGGAGATGGGTAGAGTAGACATGCCCACAGGGCACAGATGAATGTCTTCCAGGAGCTCTTGTATCTCTGCACAATGTAAAGACTTGCTATTTCAGGATGGTTGGCCTGCTCGTAGCACACATATTCCAAATAAACATTTTGCATGGAAGTACCTCTGTCCGTTGTCTTTGGCTGTGAGAGCAGGAGCTGCCCTGTGAGCCCTTCAAGGCTGGTCCTCAGAGGGCAGCAGGTGGCACAGACTGCTGCTGCTCAGATGCCGTAATATGGGGACCGGTGGTCCCAGGAGGTCCAGCACCTTTTGGCCTCCACCAAGTATTTCCTGGGTGTTTAAGCAACTCTGACATCTACCCTGCAAAGACTCACTACAGGGTAGAAAGAGGCCTTTGGTCAATTTGGGGACTGGGTTTGAGTTTGGGCTCCATTATTAGCCAAGTGGTCTTGCCCATGTCCCATTCCTGGCTTCTGTTTTCCCCACGCACCTCTCCTACTCCTTGAATATAATAAGACCCAAGCATCTAGAAAAGCCCATGTTGTAGGCGTCCAATGAATGGAAAATGGAGGTTGACCTGTGCCGTACAGGGTAAGGGGAAACTGTTTGGGAGCTTGTAGGTTTTGAAAGCCAGGCCGTCATTCTCTTACAGGGATTCACCTCCTTGTTTCTAGTATCCCAGTTCCGGAAGCAGATGCAATTTCGGCACCGCATCATGCCTCTCAACTTATTTCTAGTAGCCCAGGAAACCTAGAAGCAGTTGTGTCTAAGTTTAAAAAAATAGATTTGGTCCTTCTTTCCAGCTTAAGCCCCCTCTCTTCCTCATTTGCTTCTGGAGACTTGTCCTCATTCCTTCTGAGTCTCCACATGTGTGGGTCTCCACGCTCGAGGGTTCCCAGGCCCTCTCAATAGTCTGAAATTTCAAATCATGTTCAAATGCGGGTTTTAAAGTAAGAGCTATTCCCAGTTGGTTGGTAATTGAATCCGCATAAGAAAATAAAACTGAAAAAGAAGTCCCTTGACCAAATTAATGCTGTAAGATGAAACACACAGCCTAGGAATCGGGGGACCTGTCCGGGCCCAGCTCTGCATGAACTAGCTGTGACTCGGGCCACCTCCCCTGCTCTCTCTGGAACACTTGACAAGTGGAGAAGTGGGATTGAACTAAATTAACTGGTTTCTTCCAATTCTAATATTATGTAGTTATTTTTTGGCAAAATTGGAAGTCCATAGGGTCTTTGTCCTGCCAGAAGGGTCCAAGAGTAAAATAATGTGAAAACCACTGTAGAGGCCTGAGGACCGACCGGGTCATCTCTGGGTAGGGAGCCCTGCCATCATTTCTTTCACCAGGGTGGTCCTTTCCCCATTCCAATAACTTATCATACTTCTCTCCCCCTTCTCATAGTTTGGGACCAGCCAAGAGACTGACAATATTGAATTCTCCCAAACATATTTTTCTTATGTGAGAGCAGGGCACTGGGTGTTTATGGGCCTGGCTGGCAGCCCAAAGCATTCATCTACAGCGTCTGTACAGAGCACTTTTCTCACACTTGGCTTGCTCGGGGTCCTTTTAAATGCACTTAGGTTTGGAGATATGTGTGACTTACCAGCTAAGTTGGCCTCTCTGCTTCAGTCCCCCACAGAAATCTTTCCCAAGGGGGTCAGCTTGTGTCCCACAGGCTGGAAACGCTGTCAAATCACCCAGAACTCAGCATTTGGGAGACAACAACTCCATGGAACCCTGGGAGCATCGGCTCTCCACGTCTAGTGGGGCCACTGTTTTGGTTTCAGCCGGATAGTCTCACTTTTCTTTACGTGAGAGATTTGTGCCAGATCACGTGCAGACTCCACTGGCTTCCTCTTTGGGCTACTTCCCTGTGTCCCATGCTCCCACGGCCTTAACTGTGGCTGGGGTTTTTGTTTGTTTGTTTTTAAATAAAGGTTTTATTTATTTATGAAAGAGAGAGGCAGAGACACAGGTGAGGAAGAACCAGGCTTCATGCAAAGAGCCTGATGTGGGACTCGATCCTGGAACTCCAGGATCATGCCCTGAGCCAAAGGCCGGCACTCAACCACTGAGCCACCCAGGCATCCCTGTTTTGTTTTGTTTTTTAACCTAGCCTAACCCTACTGGTGTTTCTCCAGCCATGACAGCAGGGTCAACTTGTGGAGATTTAAACTCAAATGTTCATTTACCTAGAGTTTCTTTTGAGTGTTTAAAATAAAATGCTCAGGGCACCTGGGTGGCTCAGTGGTTGAGCGTCTGCCTCTGGCTCAGGTCGTGGTCCTGGGGTCCTGGGATCGAGTTCCACACTGGGCTCCCTGCAGGGAGCCTGCTTCTCCCTCTGCCTGTGTCTCTGCCTCCCTGTGTGTCTCTCATGAATAAATACATAAAATCTTTAAAAAAAATAAAATAAAATGCTCAACACGGAGATGAAGGGAAGACAAGGAAACAAACATTGTTAGGTCCCTGTGGTGCACCAGGTATGTTGTATGCATGGACTAATTTAATAGCCTGTCACTCTACAAAAGATAAACAGAAACAGAGAAGGGGAGGCAAAAACTTGAAGCATGTGGCTAGCAGTAGAGCAGGGATTCAAACCGATTTCTCTACCCTAAAGTCCATGCTGCTCACCTTAGCTTGCTGCATCCCAGGAGGATGGACAATGATCTTCCAGCTAGGAAATTCAAGGATAACAGTTTACAATACTAAATACATTTGTTATGATCAGATTCAGCTGCTTACATCAAAAAATTAGAAACAACAGTGACCTAATGAGATGGAAGCTCATTTCTCTCACATTTCAAAGGAACCAGAGGGTTCAGGGCTAGCGTGTCTGGAACGAAGGATAATTGGAAGAAAGACAGGGACAAAAGGAAACCACCCTTTTTAAAAAAAAAATTTATTTATTTATGATAGTCACATAGAGAGAGAGAGGGGGGCAGAGACG